CACCAAGGCAGCTAGCAACGCCATGTCAAACACTGTGACGTCAACTCTCTGCATCCATTTTGGCTTTGCTCACTGCAAAATGGACAAAAGAGGAGTGAGACTGAGGGCAGCTGAGAGGTGAAGTTCAAAACCTGCTACACAGTATAAAAGGTGTTGTGCACAATACAGCTTTGTGCACAAAATTTGTTTTTCACAGGATGTATCTGCAACTCACATTAGTGTCATTTTCTAATGTTTAGTACATTAGCATTCACCACTTGTGTCTGTCCCTACAAATTAATAGTGTTGTGACCTGCAGTCATCTCAAAATGTCTTTCTTTAACTGAAGGTGTATGAAAATGGCTGACCTGCTGAGAACCAACAAAGGACAAATGTAAAACTAAATTCAAAATGAAAATGTAACATATTAATCATTACTAACACAATATCCTCAGGCTATGAAGTCAACTACAGAAGAAACTATCTACCTTCTTGAATAAATTTACATTTTGAGACTAATAAAACTAAATAAATCTTTCATTGGCCAGGCGTGGCTACACATTTTGATAAATAAACGCAGGTCTCAATCAGATGCCAGGTCTGGTTTTTATAGAAGCTCTTTAAATGTGTAAAGCCTCTTGTTGTTAGGTATACTTGTTGTCACTACACACTTGCTGAACAAGAGTTTTGTGCAAAAGGAATTAAAGGCCTCTGCCATATAGATGCCTGTTCTAGATATAGGCAGGTTAGGTTCAGTGATTGAAGCAAATAAAAGCCCAAACTATTAATAATAATAAAGATTTATAGTAAATGCTGACGTTCACCATTTTAGTTAAGCGTATTAGCATGCTAACATTTGCTAAGTAGCACACATACAAGTAAGGCTGAGGCTGGTTTGAATGGCATCGGTTTTGCAGGTAGATAAAATGTCAGGGAATAACCAACGTCAAGTCATCCTAAGATGAACATGACTATTTGTACCAAAATTTATAGCAATCTATAGTTGTAAAGACATTTCACTCAAAACCACAAATGTGAACTTGTCACTTGAGCAATGTCAAAGTTGTCAAATTAGCAAAGTCAGAGGATCGACATTAGGGTTCACATCTGAGAACCATGAATGTCACCGTGAATAAAAAATTCAATTCAACTCAGTGAAAACTTTGACCTGCTGCTAGTGCTAAATGAAAATGCAGGTGATCACTAGTCAGTAGGCTTCATCCTCTAGAGACCATGAATGTCTGTACAAAAGTCTACGCTAATCCAATATATGTTGTAATAGTGACATAACTTTCCAAAGTCGTGGAATTACTGACTTTGCCATAACACAACCGTGGTGGAAAAAGAAAAAGGCCCTGAGATAATAAAATCAGGTGAACATGCTCCGTGTTAATGGTGACTTATGCACTTCATGACAGCACCACTACTTCCAAGGAGAAAGTGAATTCTTCCTAGATGCCAAAGAATATGTATGCCAAACTCTCTATGCAGACATCATTACCACTGCACTCTGCAAATGTTCTGCTGCAGCTCTTCTCTCTCAATGAACAATGGGTGTAATGTTTCCTTCATGGTTGGGTGAATTAAATTTCTGCCACTACAAGCATTGCTCTTGAATCCATGTGCATCAAAGGCCATTGCGTTTCTGCTGGAGCATGCGGCGTGTGTCCTCTCATTACTGTATCCAGTTCAATCTACCAAACACTATTCTTTAAAGTAGTGGAGTAGAAAAGAGGACATACTTTACTTAACAGGTTTCTTGAAAGGAAATTGGAATTAGGTAACCTAGTAATTACAGGTGAAGTAAAGACAACAATCTGAGACATATCTGAGTCCATACTGTGTATTAAAGAAGTAATTAAACATTTCGCAAAATATGCTTATTTGCTTTCTTGGCGAGTGTTGTGTATCAAGCATGGTGCTGGAGCCATTAGTGAAGCTCACTTATTAACATATGATATGCCATTTGTTTAATCTGTACACAAACGCAAATATAAAAAGTTCTGGCTTTGCTGGGAGTTATTTGCTGCCAGTCTTCCAGTCTCTATGCTAGGCTAAGCAAACTGCCTCCTGCTTCAGCTTAACACATAGGTATGAATGTGGTATTAATCTTCTCATCAGCAAGAAAGCAAAGTATATTTTTCAACACATCAAACTATTAAAGTACCCACTAATTTATTTGAGTTTTTCTGAAAGAACTTGCAAAGGTACAATTTCCTTGAAAAAAAAATGCAAAAATGTGACATTTAAGTATTCAAGTATATATTAATTTATTTTTCATGTGTCTAATTGTATACGTTCCTTTAATTTTCATCTATTGGGAAACTAAACTGAAAAAGGTTATTGTGCCATTTCATTTGAATTAATCAAGTGTGTTCCAGTTTCCATTTTTTCTTTTTCTATTAGTACCAAATTAGATCGTCCTTATCCAAAAATTCCAAGGAAATTACAGTTACACATAGGTTCCTTTCTATGAAATTATTATTACAATATTTGGAACATTTGGGACTACTAAAATAATTCTTTATTATCCCTGACAATTTCTTCCATAAGTACAGTAACAGTCAATTGAGAAAATATAAAAACAGTCAATAGACAGGGTCAATGAATATTAATAATTTGGATCTGTTTATAAAAGCAGAAGACATTAACCTCATCTGGCATATAAGAAACAAATGCACTGTCATTTGCTAATGGAGAGCTATGTGCTTGACACTCAGCGCTGCTTCGACCCACCCATCTGGAGATGATCTGGAGCCACTGATTATCTCTAACTTCTCTATCTATAAATCTTCAACAGAGCAATGTTTCAGCAGCGGCATCACAAGCCAAAACAGATTTAGCTAGAAAAACATTGCTGCACAAATGAACCAGCATTTCCTTACAGCACAATCTAAATGTTCAAAGAACCGGATGGAGAAGTTGAGGAGGATATCTGTACTCTACTGCACCTCAACCTGTTTTTTTATCTGGCACCATTGCCCAGCTGCAGCGAGAGGCGAGTTGTAACTTGTGACAGGGCTAATCTCTGTAGACAGACCGGAGCACGGCCCAATCAGCAGGGGTAGCAGGCAGAAAATGAGAACACCAAACAGAGAAGCTCCCTTAGCTCCTTCTGATTTCAACTGGAGCTCCTATGTGTTAAGCTGTGTAAAGTCCTTTAAGTGGGAATGCCAGCCTCACCTGCAACACAGACATCAACTCATTCTGCTTTTGCTGAGTGATGTTGAGAGATGGTTCAGGGCATTTTAAATATTTTCAAACATCTAAAGGGATTAGGGCTGCAAATAATGATTAAACTGCAGATTTCTAAAAGCAATGTTTTGATTTGGTTTTACCACATGCAGACTGCATCTTTTTACAGTTACTGCACTATACTATAAGTTGGAACAAACATCACTGTCACAGCCGCTTTTTGTTGTACAGTGAGTGACACTGATTCATGGAAAACCTCTAGACAATGATATGCACTATTAAGAAAGTCCGGGGTCGAATGCCGCCGCTGGCTTGAGCCTCTCTATGTAGGTATGATTCACGTAAAACTGCACGTCTAAAGGCTCCAGCCCAGCACAACACTGCACAGGAGTAGAAAATCACCAATGCATAATTACCACTACAAAAACAGGGAAGTAATTCTTCCCAGAGAATGGATAGCTACAATATTCAGTCACAATCACTGGTTTAAAGCAAAACGAAAAACAAACAGGATACCTTTGATTGCTGTGAACTACTTTAAAGAGGAGCTGTTATACTGTATGCCAACATAAAGATGTTACCAATGCGCCTGATACAGGCTAATTAAGAAGCTGAAAGTGTCAGACTTTGAATCACAAACCATAAATCTTTTTTTTTTTTAAAGAAAGTCAGAATGCTGCAGGTTTGCAACAGTAACTGCTTCCCTTACTGCAACCCTGCATGTGGACTGGATGCAAAAATGGCTCAGAAACTGCCTTAGCTGCGATCATGGCTGCCAAAGGGACAAGACAAAAACACATGCCAAGTCACCTCCAAACACAGAATACACTATACATCCATGCCAAATATCATTTTCCAAGCATATTCCTCTTTCAAACAAGCATTAAAGGACACAACAGCAAACAACGTCTCCCTGGGTCGTTTTAGCAGCACTGACATAAACCACCGCAAAGCAACACCACAGAGGAAAGCAGGGGGAAAACTGCTCATCACTCTTTCTCCATCACGTTCTCCCCGCTGGGTTTCCACAAGGTCATTTTGGCGCACGACGCAGAACAGAGCACTCAGCTACACTGACACCTTTGAGCTTACCCTGATATCGTACAGACAAAATGTAACAACACAAAAGCAAGAACAACTTTTTTACAATCTGAGAAAAAGTGCGGTTAAGGCAGAACCACAAATTTATGACCGTGTACTAAAGAGAAAAGGCGGAACAGGCGATGGAGAGGGGCAAGGGTATCGGTGCCAATAATCATCGCCAATTAGACAAATCTGGATCCATGCCGGGATGCTGGTCATATGTGCAGTTTAATGACATTAAACATTCGCAACCCCCTTATATACAGTCTATGGTAACTCCCTACAGCCCCCCAGTCCTCCATGCTTCCGTTTTAGGGTGAATTCTGCGTTTGGATGATGATGTTCGCCCTTAACGCACAAGACCTCCCCGCAACAATAACAACGAAGAGCGCATTTCGCCATAATCCAATCCATAAAATCTTAAAATCTTGTGTGAATGCAACATTTCAAACGAATAGCCTACATTTTCTTATTATTAAGTCGACTTATTCCTTGATTATCCTTCGGGTACGGGATTAGGGGTCATCGCGTTGCGGAGCACAGGCGTATAAACTCGGTTTTCAGTGATAAATAAATATCTAGTTGTATCATAACCACATGTAAATCTTCCTGTTTTCTTGTATCTGGACGCACGGTCGAAAACGGCAGCAGCTAAGGAAATTGGGACAATTAAAGCATGAAAAGGAAGGTTAACATGGACTTTCACATTTTAAGACAATTCATTTCACAATTCATTTTCTTACCTTTTGCTTGGAAGGTGAGCGTGTTTAGGGTGACCGAGATTCGCCTTTTTTTTCTGTGCAGGGAGTCACCCCGAGTACCTGAAGCAAAAAGGTCCTGTGTGTCCCTGTGATGTACACTGACGTAATAGCAGAGAGCTGCACCCTCCTCCGCCCACTTTACTTACTACACAACATCCCTCTTGGATGGAGACACCGCCCCTCCTCCTCCTCCTCCTCCTCTTCCTCCACTCACATCCTTTCTCCAGCAGACACCATTCATCTCAAAAAGAAGAGGGGGGTTTGCAGGTTGGCATGAAACCTGAAACGGTGAAGGTGATTAATTTTTCTCTTGAGTGATTCAATCATTGGTGAGTCTAAATATTACAAGGTCACACTTTATATGAAAATCACACAACCAGGTGGAAAATTAGGTCTCTGCACTCGTGTTCAATGTATCACAGTAAGACTTCTGATTTGCTCCATATGCACCAAATGGTTGGTGCAATGGACGGTGCAAGATGATCCTCTCCCTGCACGTGCTTGGTCTCGTGCCTGTAATTGGCCATGTTAAATAGAACAAAAAATCACAAGGATGCCCCTGGTGGGAAACAAACGATATCCTATCCTATTCATTTTCCAAGAATCTGAGACAAATTTGACTGCAGTGTTGTAGTAATATACTGAAACCATGAGGTAAAAATAAAATATATGCCTAGGTCAGCAATAAAGCCTATAAATTAACAGTAAGAATAATTAGTTTGTTCACTAAACCTCTTTTTTTGGCATCAGAGTTTGAGTTAACAATATAAAAGTAAAGTATTCCAGGATTGTATTCTAAACTTGAAATAACATCTATGACTCATTAAAAAGGCATCAAGGCAGAGTTCTACCACAACATCAGGTATTTAGAGAAGGGAAGCAGCCAAGCTTTTGAGGGATCAAAACTCCAGACATTTTGACTTGTCATATTAGGCCAAGGAAAGGTTTATGGATTACACGACAGAGGAAGTAGAGAGAGCAGAGAGATTTAAATTCCTTGGTGTGCACATCTCGGCTGACCTCAACTGGACCTCATATATCTCCCATCAGTTGGGGAAGGCCCAACAGAGGCTTTACTTCCTCAGGAAGTTAAAGCATGCTCACATCTATAACTTCTATCGGTCAGCAAAAGAAAACAGGAGGGGTCTGCACACACACACACACACACACATACACAACACACCCACACCCACATCATCTGTTCTCTCTCCTGCCCTCTGGGAAAAGATGCAGATCAATCAGAACCGGCACTAACAGACTGAGAGCTTCTTACCACAGGCAGTAAAATGCACACACCTCCTCCCCTCCCACTGACGTGCAATAATCCCCTACCCCAAGAACAAAAGTGCAATAACCCATTGCATTTTACCCTGACATGAATACAAAACTCTACAATTCTTCACAATGACTGCTTTTATTTCAGAGTCTGGGGTACACTTTTCTGCTCAAGGTTATTTGTTAATTTAAACCTGCGATTAAACATTTAGCCACTTGTGGCCAGCAGGCCAAGCTAAACTTGATATGGCCTATTTATTATTAGCAAACAGTCGCCCATTTATGCATTGAGCTAACACAGAGCAACATTAGCGGTCATTTGGAGTCGGGATTGTGCCTGGCTAATGAATATTAGCGTGAACCCACTTTTAAAGAAACCTGGTTTAGATCCCTCCCTCCCACATAATTTTAGACCAATTTCAAAACTGCCTTTTATTGCAAAGATTCTAGAAAGAATTGTGTCCAAACAGCTGCTCACTGTACTGAAAAATAACAAATTATTTGAAAAGTTTCAGTCTGGTTTTAGGAAGTACCACAGCACTGAGACTGCCCTGCTTAAAGTCACCAATGACCTTTTAATGTCTGCTGATGAAGGCATGTGCTCAGTCCTGGTACTCCTGGACCTTAGTGCTGCTTTTGACACCATTGATCACAACATCATGTTAGACAGACTGAGGCACTGGGTGGGAATCTCTGGTACTGCTCTAGAATGGTTTTCATCCTACCCGTCAAATAGGAAGTTTTGCGTGTCTGTAAACAACTATGTCTCTTCGTTCTGTCCAGTTAAATATGGTGTGCCTCAGGGGTCGGTCTTAGGACCCATTTTGTTTTCCTTGTATCTGCTTCCCCTTGGACATATTATCCATAAACATGGCATTTCTTTTCATATTTATGCTGATGACACACAAATATACTTGCCCGTCAGATCCACAGACCCTGGAATGCTGAGTTCACTTAACAACTGCCTTTGTGAAGTTAAAAAATGGATGTCAAATAATTTCCTCCAACTGAACTCAGACAAAACAGAAATCCTGGTCATTGGGTCCCAGCAGATGGCAAAACAAATACTGCCATCTGCTGGTTCCCTAGTAAATCACATTAAGCCTGTGGCAAAGAACCTTGGTGTTTGGTTTGATAGTAATTTAAATTTCGAACAGCACACCACAAAGCTTGTTCAATCATGTTTTTATCAACTTAGAAATATAGCAAAAATTCAATCTATGTTAACTTTTAAGGACTGAGACTATTTTACACACCTTCATCTCATCACGCCTGGATTATTGCAACAGCCTTTTCACCTGTTTAACCCAAAAATCTCAGCTGCCAGGCTTTTAACCAGAACAAAGAAATATGACCACATCACCCCTATTTTAGCTTCATTACACTGGCTCCCAGTATGTTTTAGAATTGACTTTAAAATTCTATTGATCACTTTTAAAGCTCTTCATGGCCTCTCACCTTGTTATATTTCTGAACTTTTAGTCCCATACACACCAGCACGTACCTTGAGATCCTCGGGCAGAGGTCTGTTGTCTGTTCCAGAGTCTTGACTGAAAACTAAAGGGGACAGAGCGTTTGCTGTCAGGGCCCCGAGGCTCTGGAACAGCCTGCCCGAGGAAATCAGGTCAGCTGAGTCAGTGAACTCTTTTAAGTCCCTTCTTAAAACACACTTTTATAGGAGAGCCTTTCCCGATCTTATTTGACTTTATTTTATCCCTTTTATTTTATTGTATTTTACTAATTTTATATTTATCTTAAACGTGTATTTTAGTCTTTTCAATGTTTTCATGCTTTTATCTTGTATTGTTTTTGTATTATTGTCTCTTGGGTATTATTGTCTTTACACATGTTAAAGCACTTTGTAACTTGTTTTTGAAAAGTGCTCTACAAATAAAGATTATTATTATTATTATTATTATAATATAAGTCCAATATTCACTCTTTCTTAAGTTCTGTTTTGGTCTCCATTAACAACTGAAGGACATATCAGGTTCTTTAGCTGCAAAACTTTCCACTATATTCACCAGATAGTCCCAAACTTTGTCTGCCATCTGGTGCTGGGGAGGTAGTGTTCGTTGAGATTACCAGAGCTTTTTTGGCTGAAAACAGACGCCTCTGAGAGCAGTGAGATTGAACAAAAACAGCAAAGTTCCAGGTTTAGTTTAGTTTATATCTATTGTCTCACTGGGGGAAATTGCTATGCAACCAGGCTTCAGTATAAGGACACAATACAAAAGGACAACAACATCAAAAATTAACATCCACACAATAAGTCAAAGAACTACTTCAGGAAAACGAAAATTCATACCAATTACAAATAAGAAAAATGTACAGATATGCAAATGTGTAAAATGATCAGAGATCAATATACCACACAATGTATTCAAGAGCTATCTGCTATTAAGCATTGAAAAGGCACCTGGTATGAAGGAGTATTTTACTGAGCACATTTCTCCAGTTCTTCAGCGATTGCACTGGCTTCTGGAGTTGAATTTAAGATCCTGCTACTTACTTATAAGGCACTTCATAATCTTGCACCCCAATACCTTACACAACTTCTCCCTGTTTACACCCCTTCATGTGCTCTCAGATCTTCATCTTCAATTTCTCTTGTGGTACCTCGGATCCGACTAAATACCATGGGTGCCAGATCTTTTAGTTATGCTGCCCCCGGCCTATGGAACTCTCTTCCCCTTGATGTTCGCAATAGCTACTGCTTGTTGACTTTTAAAACGCGTCTTAAGACACATCTTTTTATACAAGCTTTTTAATAACATGTTGTACGGAGTTTTTAATGCATTTTATCTGGATGCGGCTTGTTTGTGTGTGTATTGTTTTATGCAGTGATCTGTATATTGTTTGTGAGGTGACCTTGGGTGTTATGAAAGGCGCCATTAAATAAAATGCATTATTATTATTATTATTTTTGTCCTGCTGACAGTAGTCCTGAAACGGCAGCCAGAGGGCAACAGTTCAAACTGACTCCGGAGTGGATGGTCCGGGTAGTCCAATTAAACTAAACTAAATGTGCCTGTCAAGTGTGGTAAACAAAAGCATGACTTAAAAATGTTGACGATGTTTTAAAAGAACACAAAAACCTAGTTATTGAGATAAAAAGGGAACAAGCCATGAAAAAACACAAGCAAATAAATTAGAGATTTGAACTTGTAAAAACACTCATTAATTAAAGAATGCTCATTCATCCCCTCTAAATAAACACAAAGGCTTCTGTCTTTCCTCTATAGAAATTAACATTGCCATTTCTGACCTCTTTCTTGGCCACATAGGTGCGTAAAACCTCCACTGCCTTCAGCATTCAGTCTTTCAGTCAGACTTCAACTGACACTCCAGCTGTCTGATTGTCATCAGGAGCAGCCAGATCAGATGAGGCCTTTCATCTCACGTTAGGCTTTCAACTGCTTTTGTCTGCTTGGCTCATCTATTGATCAGCTGGCCTAAAAGGCTATCTGCAGGCACCAATGCCTCCATCCCCTGTCCGACTCAGTCTGACTGTGGAGTGATGAAACAGTGGGACCATTAAAGTGACAAAGTGACTGTTAATTTGTAACTAATGTGGTAATCTGACATCAGAGAGGGAGCAGGGCTACTTTCCATTTAGTTCCAAATACAACAGCAAAACATGTGAATTCACCTCTGTAGTGGTACAGAGTGGCATCGCGGTGCTAAAACACTTATTTCAGCTGAGGCTGAAATATGGACAAAATATTATCCAAACCTTATTATAGTTGTTTAGATATTTCTGTAAAAGACAAGCATGTTAACCTGCTGGTCACACTATACAGGAAAAGTCAGGTGTTCTCTTAAGTCAATAGGATCTGGGGACCATTGAGGCTTGACTTCCTACAAAGTAAA